AAGGGTCACAAGCCACCTCACAGATTGGCCTGAAAAATTAATCTTGCGCTATTTTAAAAATGCCATTGACCCAAAAGTAAAGAAGGATTGCGACATTAGGGGAATACCAGAGACCCTGCAAACATAGTATGCGGCCACCCTCAATTTAGACTGCAACATCAACCAACAAAAAAAGACCCCTACCTGAAGGTCCTCCTAGGAGAGCTGTGGCCAGGCGACAGCTGACCAGACCTGCTGAAACTGCTCCCACCCAAACCACCAGAATGATAAAGTGTTATCATTGTGGGCAGGGTGGCCATAGAGCAGCCGACTGTCTGGCTCCCGCACCTGCTCCATAACCGAGGTCTGATACAGCCGCCAGGGGGCGGGAAAGTCAAGGAAAGCCCGACACTACCCACTTTGCTAGACACACCATAGAAGGTCCTCTCCATGCAGAAGGGAGCAGCAAACTTCCAGACCAACACAGCCTCCATGGACATCCCACTGACGAAGATGATCCTATGGTGAGTGCACCCATCGCACCTTTTACCAACAAAGTGAAGTTAGTGGTGCCTGACATGGGGGAGGCAGGGGAATTAGAAGCGGTCATAGATACCGGATGCTCTAGATGCCTTATTGGGCTCCCCATCGTTGAACAATTGGGCATAAAAACTAAACCACTAAAACGCCCAATCAGATTTGAACAAGTGTATGGGACACTAATTGGGAGAATCCCAGCCACCGAAAAGACAGAGTTACTCAAACTGCAGAAGGTTCCTCAACCGCGAACTCATACATTTTATAGTAGCTCCAAGAATGTCAGAATCTGTCACATTGGGACTTGCTTGGCTAGATAAATGGGCCCCTACCATCAAGTGGGAGGATGGATTCCAGACAATCATCATTGGAGTGGGCCACTGCCCCCCCCTCCTCCCACTAAGAAACCACCATCCAACCTGGGTCCAGAAACTGAAGCAGCAACCACCACCTCGGACCCTCTTCCAGATATTCCCTAAGTGCCCAGACAATATAGAGACTTGGCTGAGGCATTCAGTGAAGAGGAATTTACCTCCCCATCGAGCCACGGACTGCGCCATAGAATTAGAACCCGGGGCAAAACTGCCAAAACAAAAGATGTATTCCATGACACCAGCTGAAATGACTGAATTGAGGAAATACCTCAATAGCAATTTGGACAGAGGTTTCATTGAAGCTGCCAAATCTAAGTTGGCTGCTCCAGTGCTGTTCAAAGAAAAGAAAGATGGAGGGTTGAGATGATGTGTTGATTTTAGGGACATGAACGCTGTGTGCGTCAAAAATATGTATCCTCTGCCCCTTATGAAGGACTTATTAAACCACCTGTCTAAAGGCAAGGTCTTCACCAAGCTAGATCTGAGAGAAGCTTACTACCGAGTCCGCATAAAAGAGGGAGAAGAATGGAAAACAGCCTTTAACTGCCCTTTGGGTAGTTTCCAATTCCGAGTCATGCCTTTGGGATTTCATGCCCCCCCCACAGTATTAATGCAACTCATCAATGAAGTGTTACATCCGCACCTGTACCAGGGGGTCCTCGTCTACCTGGTTGACATCCTTATATTCAGTGAAACCATCGTGGAACATGTCAAACTGGTCAGACAATTCCTGAAAAAACTTTTGGCCGCCAAGTTATATCTAAAACTGTCAAAATACAAATTCCACAAGGAGTCACCGGATTACTTAGGCTACCGAATATCCAACCAGGGAATTGAGATGGACCCTGGAAAAGTGAAGGCCGTGCTGGACTGGCAACCCCCCAAAACACGATAGCAACTTCAAATCTTTTGGGGTTTTGCCAATTTCTATAGACAATTCCTTCCTTCTTTTGCCGAGGTTGCCCTCCCTTTGACAGAGTTATTAAAAACGGGCCCTTCACCCACCAAACCGAAGCCCGGTCAGCCCCTTGCTTGGACCACAGACTGTCAGAAAGCCTTTGAAACTTTAAAACACCTCTTTGCAGCTGAGCCCATTCTCCAGCACCCAGACCCGACCAGACCTTTTATAGTCAAAGCTGATGCTAGTGATGTGGCGATAGCAGCCGTTCTGCTACAAAAGGACTCTGAGAACCGACTGATACCTTGCACTTATGTGTCCAAAAAGCTAGCAGACACATAGTGAAGATGGGCGGTCTGGGAGAAAGAAGCATTTGCAGTACGATGGGCTTTGTTGACTTGGAGGCATTTCCTAGAAGGGGTGAAGGAGCCGTTTGAGGTGTGGACTGATCACAAGAACCTTGAGGCTCTAAAGACACCTCGGAAGCTATCACCTAAACAAGTCCGCTGGGCTCAATACTTCAAGCGGTTCAACTTCAACATGAAATATATCCCCAGAGGGAAAAACATATTGATGGACGCCCTGTCCAGGAAACCCCAGTTTGTCAGTCACCGAGAGAAAAGAGTGCAGGCTTTGATATCAGAAGCTCAATCGGCAGGCCAAGTAACCACTCGAGGCCAAGCCAACTGCAACCCCAAACTCCTGGAAGACAAGCTGACCACGGAGTTGAAAGCAGCCCTATTGACTGATCCCTGGTTTGTGGAGCATCAAACCAAATTAACAATGAATGAGGGACTGGCTTGGAAAGAGACTAAGCTTTATGTACCCTCAAACTTAAGACTAATGGTGCTAAAGTGTAGCCACAACTCGCAGCTGGGGGGACACTTCGGGTTCTTAAAAACCCTACATTTAGTCAGAAGACAGTTCTGGTGGCCAAAAATGAAACCTGACATCGAGGACTATGTAAAAAGCTGCTCAATTTGTGCCACGATGAAACACACAACTGGGGAAACCCCTGGACTCCTCCAACAAGTAGCTGAACCAACAAAGCCGTGGGAAGAAATCGCAATGGACTTTATCGTAGAATTACTTGAGAGTGAAGGGAATACAATCATTTGGATTGTTATTGACTTACTCTCTAAGAGGCCCACTTTACAGCCTGTAAAGGACTTCCATCTGCAAAAAAGCTTGTAAAACTGTTCGTGAAGCATATCTATAGGCTACACGGAGTACCTTGTAGAATAGTATCAGACAGAAGGGTACAATTTACCACTAAATTCTGGAGGGAGTTTTTAAAGTCTATTGGGTTGTCCCAAGGGTTATCCTCAGCATTCCATCCGGCCTGCAACGGAGCAGCAGAGAGGGCGAACACCATGGTGGGACAATACATTAGATGCTATGTAAATTATCAAGAGGAAAACTGGGCTGAATTATTACCATTTGCAGAGGTTGTTTATAATAATGCAGTACATAGCAGCACAGGGTTGACTCCATTCCAAATCAACACTGGCATCGAATTTGTCCCTATGCCAGAATTACCTAGAGAACCTCCTACATACATGTCTGTAACAGAATAGATGAAGTCTTTAAAAAAAGGTTGGGAAAATACAAAAAAAGCTTTGACTGAAGCTGCAAAGGATTACAAAAAGCAGGCGGACAAACATAGATCCCTTCAACCACTGTTTAAAGTAGGAGACAAAGTATATTTGTCAACCAAATATCTTAGATTGAAACTTCCTAGTAAGAAGTTGGGGCCTAAATTCTTAGGTCCATTCCCAACTTCGAAAATAACACCGAGGACGGTTGCAATATTGCTAAATTTGCAGATGATACAACAGTGGTTGGACTTATCTCCGAGGGGGGGGATGAGTCTGCCTATTGAGATGAGGTGATTTTGTGGTGTGGACACAATAACTTGGTCTTCAACACCAATAAGACCAAGGAGCTTATGGTGTACTATAGAAGGAACAGATGAGACATCCAGCCCTTGCTTATCAATGGAGACCGAGTGGAGCAACTGGCCAGTTTTAAGTTTCTGGGTGCTCACATTGCAGCCCTGGTTAAAAGGGCCCAGCAGAGAGGCTTCTCAGAAAACAACAACTGAATGAAAAACTGCTGGTGACCTTCTACCACTGCACCATAGAGAGTATCTTAACTTACTGCACCTGTGTATGGTTTGCCAATTGCACAGTGGCAGATAGGACAAAACTCGAGAGAGTTAACGTTATTGCCCAGAAGATCAAATGGTTGCCCTCTCCCCCCTTTGGAAGAGCTTTATAGCTCCCGCTGCCTTAAGATAGTTCAAAACATTCTCAAAGATCCATCTCATCCTGGGCACCCTTTTTTTGAACTGTTACCATCTGGCAGACAGTACAGGATAATAAAAACAAGGACAAATAGGCTGAAGAACAGTTCCTATCCCAGGGCAGTAACTGTGTTGAATTCTACTGTATAGTACACTGAAGATGGTATTTCATTTCGTTGTACGATGTGCAATGACAATAAACTAAAACTAAACTAAACTAAACTAAACAGCAGCTTATCTTGTAAAGAATTAAAGCAAGCCACACCTTTGAATTAGACTCTTGTGCAATTGCACATTAGGGCCCTTTCTGTTGACTTAGTACACTTCAGCTTTGTTAGGTATTAAGAGGGAGAAAATGTTTCAGAGAATTCTGTGTGAATTACTGTGCTATTGAAGTAGAAACTGTCTTTCTTTGGAATTAATCAGAATTCTAACTTACATTTAGCAGAATTGCAGAGTAACACAGTTGGAAGGGACCTTGGAGGTTTTCTCGTTCAGTGGCCCCCAACCTTTTGGGCACCAGAGACCAGTTCCATGGAGAGAGGTTTTTCTGCAGACCAGAGGGGGTGTGGTTTTGTGTGCTGCCTGCATCCCGTGAATAGGGCTTTGCTTGTTTGTGGGACCTGGCTTCTGGCATGTTGCGGACTGGTGCTGGTCCACAGACCAGGGGTTGGGGACCCCTGTTCTAATCCATCCCCATGCTCAAGCAATTCTTTTTCTCTGCTTTAGTTGACTTAAGTGTAGAAATGTGTCTTTCTCATTTAATGAAAAATAAGGTTACCCTCTTTTTAGTCTGCATTGCTGTTGAGATCTTCAAGTATATTTTGGGTAAAGTAGAATGATACTGACAAAGGAACTGCTTTGCCACTGTTTTGAAGAATTGATTACTGTATCTCTTTTTTTCTAGTGAATTAGATGATGACTTACTAGGAGAAGATATGTTGACTGGCAAAAAGGTAAATCAGTCTGTTTAAAGTATATGCTTGCATATATGGGAAAAAATAATTCGATTACGTTACTTTGTAATAAACTACAATGGTGTAGCTCCTGACTTTTTAGGATCATCTGTCTCCTGCTGTTCCAGCAAAGAACTCCAAATGCTCTGTTGGAGCCCTGCCTGTTTGTTATCAGTTCATTTTTATTAATTTGTGTCTAAGTATAGTACTAAATCTATTTTTTCACACAACAGCAACAAGTCTGTGAGGTGGGCTGAGTGAAGAGATTGTTGGATCCAGGACAGCTTTTATCTTGTCTACCCACCACAGATCCCTTCTGGGGATTATTGTTTCTAGATCCAGAAGAAAGTAATTGAGGGAGACAGAAGAGGAAGAATTTGGTGTCAGTTTTCCTCTTTCAAGACCTTCACAGGGAAAATAAAGGAAGTATATGGCCTTTTATAAGCTTCTAAAATCAGTTCAAGGGTTGTTTTTTTTTTTTCCAATTTTAGACTCAGTCAGATATGTCAGATGAAGAACTGAATGATGATCTTCTGCAAAGCGATAATGAAGAGGATCAACATTACAGGTTTGTGTTTTGCTGTTTGAGCCAAATAGTGTAACTTGTTTTCTAGTTTAGTACATTCAGATTATTTATTTGCTAATAACTAATGATAGAATAGCACATATAATGTGCTGTTAGGGATAAAAGGATTAACATTTGAGGCTCCAAAAGTGATACATGAACATTGTTGTTTCTGTGCAATTATATGAGTAGGAATTCAACTCATTTTTGGCTGGGTTTTAAAACACAAAATAATGGTAGTATAGGACCTGATTTCCCAGATGCATTTTTTCAAAGCTGTGGTAAACTCCTCCACAAATTTAATTACTTCTAGGAAATCCTTAGAAATAGTTGTTTTAATGAAAAACTCTAATGATAGGAGCTGTAGTGGTGCAGTGGTTAGAATGCAGGCTAATTCTGACTGCCAGCAGTTCAAGTCTCACTGGCTCAAGGTTGACTCAGCCTTCCATTCTTACGAGGTTGGTAAAATGGGGACTGTCACGCCCCTGTCAGAGCCTGAATCTGCAGAGGAAGACAAGCCAGAACTGGAGCCAACAGAGATCAAGGGGGCAGCTTCGGCAGCTTCCAGGGCCTTTCAGGATTGGGATGGCTTGTAGGCAGGGAGGAACGGGGGCAGGATGACCAAGAGAGGATAAGCAGTGAACATGAGAGACAGAGCTCAGGCAATGAGCAAGGACTACCCCTCCTGATCCTAGAGCACAGAGAGTGGAGAAAAGGTGGAAACAGCGCAGGCTGACCCGACTACTTGGGAGGAGACTGCCCCACCCCTCTCCACAAGGCACACCTGGGGACTGAGACTTGAGATGCTATGGGGACGGCCATTTGTTGGGAACAAATGCTGAATTCATGGAGGGTTGTGTGCCATTGCCAATGTTGGACGTTTCTTGGACTTCTTGCTTTATTTCTTGCTTCCTGGATTAATTGTCTTGTTCCTTTGCTTCCTGGACTAATTGACTTCTTCCCTTGCCCTGCTAGACTTCTTGTTTTGCAGCTGTTGTGCTCGCAGCTTTGTGCTGGACTACTTGCAGACAGGGGCTGCTGGAAGTGTGTGTGTGTGTGTGTGTGTGTGTGTGTGTGTGAGATCACTTTTCTCTGGGACTTGCCAGAAACATGGGAGAGTTTGGGGAACATTTGGAGCAATAAAGGAGCGGTTTGAACTGTCAGCTGACTGTGTTGCCTCTGTGCTGTGCCCCGGGTCATCACAAGGACCCAGATTGTTGGGGGCAGTATGTTGACTTTGTAAACTGTTTAGAGAGGGCTATAAGCACTGTGAAGCAGTATATAAGTCTAAGTGCTATTGCTATTTTCACCTTGTAGGGAAGATGGGTGGCATAAAAATTTAGTCAATAAAAATAACATAATTATATCACTTTTCTTTCATGTAAGTATTGGGCATGTAATTATTAGTAAGTATAACTGATTAAAAAAATACCTGTGATAAAGTGCCTCCAAGAAGAAACAGGACGCCTGGTCTGCTACATGTATGCATAATCTTAACTGCAAAGTTGAACTAACAACTGCTGTTTTATTCATTTGCATTAAGAATACATTTGTACAATTCTGTTTTTAATTGAATTGTCATGCTGAAGTTATTTTGGGTACATTGTCAGTATATTTTGTCTTTTTACCTTCTTGTTCATTTTGAATATAATGTATATCTTTTCCCATCTACTTGTTGGTGGAGGGAAACAAGACCATTCAACCAGTCAGCTTATGCATGATTTTTCTTTGAGGGCTTCTTTAAAGAGCTTCCCCTGAAGTGTTCTGAGTTTTTCTTCTGCTTTGTGTTAAGCAGTTGTGGCAGTACAACAGGGTTCAGAACTGTGTTGTATTGAAACACTTACAATTTTTATGAAACATTATTATACAACCAAATGAACATACTGAAATATGTACAGCCATAGAGAAAAACAATGTAGATCAATGTGATTGAAATTAGTCCTATTAGACGGGCGAGACTCCAGGAAAGAAGCAACCTGGACTTACGGAGACACTTCATCACTGGAGGTTTTTAAGAAGAGACTGGACAGTCACTTGACTGAAATGGTATAGGGTCTCCTGCTTGAGCAGTGGGTTGGACTAGAAGACCTCCAAGGTCCCTTCCATCTCTATTCTGATTGATTGATAGAAGTATCACCTGAATACATTAAAACAGAGAATTGATCTCACTTCTTTCTCATTTGCACAATTGTTCAACCTCTGATGTTTTATAACTGTGGGGTCCTTGGTGCTCTCTGAGCTTGGTTCAACCAAGCGCCAAGAGCACCAAGGACCCCACAGTTCAACCATGAGCTACAAGTAGCTTCTATCAGTATTTATAACTGTCTTTAATCAGTTCTGCCTATTAATTAAAATATAGCAAATGCCATGTAAAAGTATATTTATAATTCAGAAGGCTATATATAACAACAGAAAACTTCTGACACTGAACTCCTTATTCAGGAATCAGCTTGCTCAGAGGGGGCTGACAGGCACAACTCAGTATAACAGTTGAATTGTAGTCTCATTAACTTCACAGCCAGGACAGAAGTGCATCTTTGAAACATGTCTGGCTATTGCTGCCTTCTAATTTGTTTGTTTCCATGACTTTTGCATGCCATGTTTTTTGTGATTGACAAATTAAAATGGCATTGGGAAGATCCAAGTTTAGTTCCACCCTCAGCCATGGCAGTTCGCTGGGTGACTTTGAACCAATCACACTCTCATCCCAACCTACCTCCCAGGGTTATAGTTGTGTGTGTGTAAGGAAATAAAGGAGGGAGTATATGCTGCATTAAGTTCCTGAAGGGCAGACAGGATATAAACAAAAAAAATAGTTTTCAGAGAGAGCGTAAAAAGAAACTCCTAGAGAATCATTACATCATTCATTGAAAGTTGGTACGTTTTATTGGCAAAGAACCTCTTTTTTTGTAATAAATTATTTTTTTTATATTTTAAAAACATCTCTTTCAGTGAACAACGTGGTTCCAGGTTTACACTTCAACACAAACATGACCTTAGTACATATTTATCTTTTACATTCAATTCTATATCATATCATTACTTCCATTTTCCAGTAAATTTTCTCCATTATTCTTATTTTCTTTATGCTTATTAAATCTTAGATATGGATGTGTCCCATTGGAGAATATGAATTACAATACACCCAGGGGGTGAGGAAAAACCTGGGTCAAGGGTGACAATGAATGATGTCTCTTAGAGTCAGCTACACCCAGGCAATGCCACACCTTTTAACTCCCAATAAATCCTTTTGAAGTTTTGGAAGTTTGGCTCAAGACTCATGATTTCAATGGGGTTAAGTGCCAGAATCCTGACAGTGAGATGATTTGCAAGGAAGAATGGCAGGAAATCCCCCAATCTAGGTGTGCAAAGCTTGTTGCATCATACCCCAAAAGACTTGAGGCTATAATTGCTGTCAAAGGTGCCTCAACAAAGTACCTAAGTGAAGGGTCTGTATACTTAGGCCAGGGCTGTCAAACTCCCAGCCTGTGGGCCAGATGTGTCACACGCTGGCCCACACCCACACCTGGTTTAGGGAAGGGGAGGAAAAGTCCCAATATGTCACGTGACACCACCGTGATGCAAGTTTTGACACCCCTGACTTAGGCCAATGTGATATTTCAGTTTTTTTCTTTTTAATAAATTTACAGACATTTCTAAAATTATGTTTTCACTTTGTCATTATTGGGTACTGAGTTAATGAGAAAAATTAATGAGGAAAAAAATGAATTTCAACAACTGTAGAATCAGACTGAAGCAAAAAAAAATTGACAAAAGTGAAAGGGGTCTGAATGCTGTCTGAATGCACTATGTTTGCTTTGATTTGTTTGGTCAAATAGTCCACAACTGGTGATAAAAAGTAATATAAGTATGCATATTGTGAGTTTGTGGCATGAAATCAAATTTATTTAAGAAAATTCGTGTGGCTGCCCAACTCACTCTCAGTGACTCCAGGCGGCTTACAAAGATAAAATTCTCATAAAAACAATAAAAGACAATACCCCCCCCCCCCCGGTTGACAATTAGTCAAGCAAGCCACTTGATGGGCTCCATCCCACTTGGGGTTCCCCAGGCCCAGGTCTTTAGGGCCTTGTGAATGTTAAAGTGGGGTAATCTCCGTGGGAGTGATATTCCAAAGGGAAGGAGGCACCATGGAGAAGGCCGTTCTTGGTCTCGCTAGTTGTACCTCTTTAGGAAAGGGGACTTGCAGCATTCCCTGCCTCCCCTCTCTGGTAGGTTGGGTAGATGTGACTGGTCTTTCAAATAACCTGGTCCCAAGCCATGTAGGTCTTTAAAGGTGACAACCAGCACCTTGAATTGGACCTGGAAGCAAATTGGCAGCCAGTGCAGCTCCTGGAGGAGAGGTAACATGTGCACACATAGGCCTGTACATAACCATGTGGGCCGCTGCATTTTGAACCAATTGAAGCTTCTGTATACTTTTCAAAGGGCAGCTCCATGTAGAGCGCATCACTTTTTTTCTAATTAATGTGTTGGTTTAAATTAAAAACAATCTTTTTTTGCTGTATTGTAGTACTCAAGGTGTCACTGTGAGTCTTAATGCTGCATCTAGCATGGTTACATCATTTGAGCTCTCAGTGAATGCTAATGACCCATCTATTGAACAAGACTCAGAGTATGAACATGGAGAAGATGAAATTGGTTATGACAAATCAGATGTTCCTGAAGAATATGCAGAGGAGTATTCAGAAGGACAGTATGAAGGCCAAGAGACTGAGTTGACAGAAGACCAAATAGGCTATGGTGAAGATCAGGGTGAAGAAGACAATTATAATGATGAAGTGCTGGATCTTGAAATCAATGAACCTCTAGATGAATTTCCAGTGAGTTTTTTCCTCTTATTTTAGTTTTTGAGATAACATTGCTACATATGCTTAAGTTTTTAGACTGATTTGAAACCTGTTTACCTCCCTTGGGATCAGAGCAAAATTAGACTTATTATCATTGACCTTCAGTTTCTTTATCTGAACCAGTGGTTGCCAACTGGTGGGCCGCAAGAAAATTTTGGTGGTCCGCAGAGAAATGTCCCCCCCAAAGCAATTAATCCAGGCTGTGCGGTAACACAAGGCTGCCCTGCCCACATGGCCCGCGGGAACACAAGGCTGTGCCGCCCACATGGCCCGTCCACAGGCTGGCCCCCACCCTTCGGCTGAGTGCAAAGCCACGCAAGCTGGAACTGAAGGGTAAAACCAACAGTGGGGGAGGGAAATCCACCCTGGGGTGGCTTGCTGATGTTGGTGGGAAAGTCGGTCCCATATTACAGAGCTGCACTAGTCACAGGACTGCCCTGTGCATGGGCCTGCCATCGATGAGCTGCTCCAGGATGACCAAAGGGCCAGTCTTGTGACTACTGCAGCTCTGGAATATGGGACTGGCCTGTGGTGGGGTTGGAAATCTCCACTTCAGCGCTTTGACTCCCAGGAACAGGAATTCAGCCAAGCTATCTTCAAAATCGTCTCTCTCTAGGAGCGCTTGCAGAAGCAGCGCAGAAAAATTTGGCTGGGCTCTTGAGAGAGAAGAATAACTTTGGCAGCTTCTCCATGAGCACTCCTCGAGAGACAGAGACTATTTTGCAGGTAGCTTGGCTGAACTCCTGTCCCTGGGAGTCGAAGCGCGAGTGGCGTGGGAAATGGCCAAGCTCTCAAGAGACAAGTGACTCCGGCTGCTTCTCTCTGCTAACAGGCGGCCAAGATATCTGCGAACTATCAAGCGCTCATCGAGAGAGACGATTTTGCAGGTAGATTGGCCGAACTCCTGTTCAAAGGGAAGCACAATGTTGTTGTACCGGGCTAACATGGGGGGGGGGGGGGGTCGTCCCCAAAGCACCAGCATTGCTCCAATGTCGCAGCCCCGAGGACGCTACCTTTGCCTGCACCCGTCACCAAAGCACGGCAGCCAGAGAAGCGCTCCCTCCTCCGCGGCAGCTGAACTTCCAATCGGTGCTGGAGGCAGCGCTGAAAGGGAAGAGGCGGTGCCCAAAGGGGCTTCCACAAAGGGGGAAGGAAACCCTCCCTCTACCGCTGCTTTCGCCCCGTCTTAAACTCTGCCGGCTCCTGGGTGTCCTGTTTGCAGTCCTGCCCGAGGATGCGTCCCCTGCCCCCAGTTACGTGTTTATCAGGAGCACCCCAGCCCGGCTTCTGCAGTCCTTCGGGGCACTGGGTGTAAAACTGCATCTGGCTGGCCGCTCCTTTGTCTGAAGGGGAGGTTCCTGGTTCCTTGTGTCACCATGTTTTTTTTCTCCCATGGATGGTGGAGGAATCAAGAGTTTCACGTATTTGTGGTGTGAGTCCCTATCACAAAATCGGAGCCTTTTGGCAAGGCTTCTTGTATGTTATATTACCAGCCCATTGCAGGCTGATAAATATAATAGTTGGGGTAGAGAGGTTGTTGAGTGAAAAAGAAATTGTAATATAATGGCAAAATAGTTCCATTTTGTTATACTGGTTGGAGAGTGGCTTTCCCACCAACGTCAGCAAACCACCGTCAGTCAAAATTCAAATTAGTGGTCTGCGGGATTTAAAATTATGAATTTGGTGGTCCCTGAGGTCCAAAAGGTTGGCAACCCCTGATCTAAACTGTGACAAAGTTTGTGTTGAGCTGTAGCTGTTTTTCCTTCTGGAAGGCTGTTGAGAATCATGATCGTGAAGATTGTATCCTTAAGGAAGAAAACACCTTTCTGTGGTGGAGACTGTGCCAATTGTGAGAAGTACTTAATGCAAAAGCATTAAGACAAGATCTGATAAATCCTTCGAAGGTGAAAAGATTATTGACCTGTTAAAGACATCTTTAAGGTGCTAATATTCCAAAGTGAGTGATGTTCTGCTCACTCATTTCTACCCTACCCCCCCCTTTTTTTTTGCAATTGAGAATTGTTTAAACCTGAATAGGGATTTGAGGTTACATGTCACATATATAATTTGTTTCAGTTTCAGTGGGTTGCTGCACTGATTGCTCTGAGCTGAAATGAGAATAGATTTATTGTCATTTATTAGAGGTATTTCTCCCAAAAACCCCTGGCAAATGTAAATGGATTTATTAGTCCTTTATCTTTGCTTTAAAGCCTATGTGTAAATCACATAATAAAATGCTGTATATTATTATTAGATGCATAAGACATACTAAATGAGAAAACAGATTTCATGGAAGATAACAGGTATTGTATTACACTCAAATTAGTTAGATAAATAAAACCTGAAATCCTACATTTTAAAGGAATTAATATGAGCTGTAATATCATGCCATGTTCATGCTTTGAGAGTAATTTTTATCTTATGGAGTGCTTTATATATGCTTTAAATAAGTAATGTAATTTTTCCTAGCTTGCTATTTTTTTTAAAAACTGCAATAATTATGTTATTTTCATGTATTATAATCTTGGGGTTTTTAATCTTCTTAATTAGCTATTGATGCAAAAAGTAAATAGCTACATCATATGGATATGATTTTAAATGTGCTGTTTGGGATTAGTGCAGTTCTAGCTCCCAGTTATTTAAACATAGAAGTAATATTACATTTCACCCTTCATAACCTGTTTACTCATCCTAAGTAAGTTTTGGTTGCAACTAGGTATACAGTTGTTGTCATGGTTAGTATTAATTACATTTTCTCTTAAGCACCATTCAATATTTAAATCTGATTAACTGATAAACACTGGTTTACGTAAATCTGCTGGAGATGGAAAACCTACAGAAGTATGGAAGTTTGTGACTTCTTTCTAGCCTGTTAATCAGGGCAAACAAGTTGGGAATATTGCATATATACCAGCCCCTTCTGAATAAATAAGCAGTGATATATTTAGAAACTAAAATTAGTTTAAAAGAAAGGCTTCCTTGTACATTTCTTTCAGGATGAAGGATTTTTGCAGTCTTACAGTGAACAGCAAGTAATCAAACAAGCATATGAAGCTGAAGAAGAATTAGAAGAAGTTGTTGATACCCAGACACCTCCAAATGAGTCAGAAGAGGTATGTCAATGTCGGTGATGGTGATATCGAGGCCATGCCCCTGCATGCCCTTTCAGAGTTGCCACAAGTGAGGAGGGGGGAAGGGGTTGCATGGGGCGTATGGATGGGTGTGGGTTGTTGGGTGTTGCAAGGGACTCACGGAGGGGTGGGACAAAAGAGCAGGGAGGAGAGGAGCAGCAGTGTTCGAGGCCAGCAATGATTCTTTTCTGGAGCAAGCCTTCCTGGAGGGAGGGGCATGACGATGAGTCTTTATTGGAGCAAGCCTTCCCAAAGGGAGGGGTGTGCTGAGCCCTTATAATCAGCTGGAGGGTAGAAGACTAATGCTGACTAAATCTGTGTCACTTCGTGCCGAGTCAAGAAAAAGTAAAGGAGAGTTGCTCTACCGACAGTGTGGTCTCTTCCCTTACTGGCTAGGCTCGGAACTGTGATAGTCACCATTACAGAACTTGGCCAGGGGGTTCATCCAGCCGGCACGCTCCATGATTGCCGCCCCTGTATTGTTTAAAGAAAAGAAAGATGGATTGATGCGTTTCTGTGTGGCCTTTAGGGGCATATACTGTGTGTAGAAAATATGAACCGGCTACCCCTGATGAAGGACATTTTGGGCCACCTGGCCAGGGGCAAGATATTTACCAAGTTGAACTTACGGGAGGTGTACTGTAGGGTTTGCATAAGGGAAGGGGACGAGTGGAAAACGCCCTTCAACTGTCCACTGGGGAGCTACCAGTTTAAGGCTTGGTTTATTTGGTTTGCAGGGGGCACCTGCATTTATGCAGCTCATCAATGACGTGCATGAGCACCTGTACAATGGAGTGTTGGTTTATTTGGTTGATATTCTAATATATACTGAAACAATGGACGAGCATATCCACCTGGTACGGCAGGTGTTAGAAAAACTGTTCATGGTGAATCTGTACGTAAAGCTGTCCAAATGCAAATTCCACCAGAACTGTTTGGACTATTTGGGGTACTGGGTATCCGGCGCGGGGGTGGAGATGGATTCCGCAAAAGTTAAAGCCATCCTGGAATGGCAGGTGCTCAGGACGCGTAAGCAGTTGCAGCATTTCCTGGGGTTTGAGAACTTCTATAGACCATTCATCCCCTCGTTCACCTGAGTAGCTCTGCCGATCACTGACTTGCTAAAGACCAAACCTGCAGTGACCAAGCCCCATCCCAAACAACCCCTCCAGTGGACCATGGAGTGCCAGTGGACCTTTGAAACTCTGAAGGGCCTGTTCACCTAGGAGCCGATCCTCAAACACCAAGATCCAGAACAGCCCTTTGTTATTCAGGCTGATGCAAGCAACGGAGCCGTTGGAGCCATCTTTTTGCAGCGCAATGACAGAGGCGACCCTGTGCAACCCTGCACCTATACCTCCCGGAAGCTCACTGACACAGAAAGAAATGGGCAATTTGAGAGAAGGAAGCATTTGCGTTGCATTGGGCATTGCTGATGTGCCATTTCCTAGAGGGGAGCCAGGTGCCTTTTGAGGTGTGGACGGACCATAAAAATCTAGAAGCCTTGCAGACGCCCACAGAATTTTGAGGGAAACACGGTAGCAGTGGAGTAATAGAGCTCACTCCAGTCATTAGCCACCTTTCCATTTACTTTTTATATCTGAATTTCCTTAAACCTTTCTATAGTAATGCTTTTGACACACACAAAAAAGAACACTGCTTTCTTCCTTACTCTTCTTTGTGACCAGAAATTCAAAACTGCTTAGGAGCACACCAGAGCTAGCTGTGCCAGATTGAAATATCTTCTGCTTGATATAAAATCCTTGATCTTTTTTCACTTTGTTTTGGGGGAACCAAGTCAACTCTTTCTAGCATTACTTATATGTAGTTGAAGCAGTTTCATTCATCTGTTCACAGTATTGTCATGAATTATTGTTAATCCATAGACAACATGACCCTATCTCAGTGATGGCGAACCTTTTAGAGACCAAGTGCCCAAACTGCAACCCAAAACCCACTTATTTATTGCAAAGTGCCAACATGGCAATTTAACCTGAATAATGAGGTTTTACTACCTAAAATAATGATATACAAGGCAGAGTTCAGCTAATTGTTCTAAGAAAAATGTGATAAATGCACTTTTATACCCCTTCATTTTTTTCCTGATTTTGAAATATTACGTTTAGCAACAATAAAAAAACTTTTGTAATATTGTTTCTCTTTCTCTCTCTCTTTCTATCTCTCTTTCCCTCCATCACTCTCTCTCTCTTTCCCTCCCTCTCTTTCTCTCTCTCCCTCCCTCTCTGTATTTCTCTCTCTTTCTCTTTCCCTCCCTCTTTTTCCCTCTGCCTCCCTCTGTTTCTCTCTCTCTCTTTGGAGAGCTGAGGACCAGCGGGTAGGCAGGGCTTCCCAACACTGGCAGCTCTGCAGGAAAAGCAACTGACATCCGGGAGGTGAGAGCAAGCCCACGACGATGCAGAGGTGCATTGCAGCTCTGCGTCGTAATGGTCTCCAGGAGAACGGGACCCCATTTCCCCCATTGTGAAGCGCGCTAAATTTCACTGTGCTGCACAAGGGGCAGGCCATGGCGGCAGCAACAGCAAATGCACCGCAACAAAGGCGGAATGCTGTTTCACACATTTTTTTTAGTCCTGCAAACAATGGCGAGAAATGCAACAGAGAAATGCGATGAAGCTGGGCTGGGGCAATGGCACGCGTGCCCACAGAGAGGGCTCTGAGTGCCACCTCTGGCACGCGTGCCATAGGTTCGCCACCACTGACCTATCTGCTTGCAAGTAGATGTTAAAAACCTCAAGTAACAACTCAGTTGTGTCTGAGTGACATTTTAGTAAGTCTTTGTGTACACAGTTTTCTGTTGATAGTTCTGATTCTCTGCTCAATTTGATTTCCTTCTCCCCTGCACCAAAGGAGAAACAGTCATAGAAGTTAGTGATGAAGCCTAAATCTTGGCCAAATGTGTAATATAAGTGCTATATATTCTCCATTCCAAAATAATTCTGATCCTTGACATTTCAAAACTTATGGATGAACAGATGTCTTGTTAGAAGATAGAGACAAGAAATTTGGAGTGACTTAAGGCAGCCATCCATGAGAAGACCAGTTATTACCCAAGCAATTTATTTTTCTGTGATGCATTTATTTCCTTTTCCTCTTATTCAAGAAACTAGCTGCCACTCTTAGCTTTCACTGCCTGTATTTGAGGGAAGGGATTATATTTGGGCTTAAGGTTTTCTTCATACTTGGTTTCTTTTGAAGTCAGGAGTGGAAGCTTTAGCTTTAGACAGGCGTTTTTTTTCTCGATCACCTTTTTTTCTATCAATGGCCAATTGGGTGGGTGTGGCCAACTGGGTGGGCATGGCTAGATTGACGCCACTCCCTGAACTGCTGGCATGTTTCCTCTTCAAATTGGGTAGACCAGGCTGAAGCCAGGCTGGACTGTCACTCCAGTCCAGTCGCGAAGCATCCCTGACCTGCTCTCGACTTGCCATAGGCAAGGGGGATGGGAAAGTGAACTTCACAGCTGCATCAAGGAGCTGGCATCTCAGTCAAAGCACATTCCAACTGATAAGCCCAGGTCGTCTCAATGGAAACCCACAGTGGTTGGAGGGAATGACTTACAACCCGCAAAATTGTTTTGTTGGGGAATGTGACTGATGACACATATTGGGGGCAGGGGGAAACAGGGTCATAGGCAAAGCGTGAATTAACTGAGGTCAGAGTTGGCTCCACTTTGTCCATGCCAACGTGAAGGTCCTAATAAATAACTGGATTTATTTTGAAGCTTGGCTTGTGGCTCATGATTTAATTAGGGCATCTGTCGGAACCCTGACATCTTTCCTCTTTGCATTGGGTAGACCAGGATGGCTCTGTGGGCTGGATTCGACTACATCACAGGCTGGATACGGCCCACAGACCTTGAGTTTGACACCCCTGTTTTAGTGCATTGGGTGCAGAAATTTCACCTAGTAGTATAATTTTGAACAATGTGAATTTTAAGAAAAGATCTGTATTTTATTATTGCATGGTGAAGTAAACATACATGATTTAGAGTCATTTAGATACCATATATAGGCAGTATACAGGATGTTACATATGAAGGACTTCCCACACTGATTTAAAATTTTATTTTAATTTGAAAGCCTTTTAAATGTGAAGGTCAGTATTATATCCTGTCCTCCTCTGTTACAGGCAGTTATTGAAAATCTGGAATTTCAGGAAGAGACAAAAGAAGAATCAGATGAGGAGGAGGAAGATGATGAAGAGTCTGGTCGGTTACGTTTCAAAACTGAACGGAAAGAAGGGACAATTATTAGGCTATCAGATGTAACAAGGGAGCGAAGAAACATTCCAGAAACTTTGGGTAAGACTTTTGAGGAATAGTCAGAAAACTAGATTATTTTGGGGGAACATCAACAAGCTAACATATTACATGCACAATTTTTATGAAAATCACTGAGTAATATAAACATTAAAAATATGAATAATTGTGCACAAGGCATGAATTATAAGCAGTGAGGATGAAAAGGAAGTAAAATATATGAAGTAAAAACCATGGTAATTTGCAGTTCAAGAGCACCTTTATAGTGTTAAACTGTGTATGGCTAGTCATCTGCTTACGTCCATTCGTTCAATGACTGTTACAGTGCTGAAGTTATGACAGTGCTGAAAAACTGGACGTACAATTGGTCCTCAAAGTTCCAGCCATTATATTATCCCTGTGGACATGTGCTTGTGGTCTAGGCACTCGGGTGCCCAGCTTGCAAATAGACTTCACTGGGAGCTGTGGTCATGTAATTGCTATTTGTGACATTCCCTGCTGGTTTCCCACAAGCAAAATCAACGGGGAAGCAAGCAGGGAGTGTCACAGGTTGCTCTGATAGTGCTTTTTCTCTTGCCCTCCCCTGACTTCCATATGGCAACCCCTGCATTCCTTACCTGGGACCCTCACTTCTTCCCACTTAACAAGCTGCACATCTTGGGGTTACAACAGCAGCCAGGACCACCAGGATTGTCATTGCTAAGCAATGTGTCATCACATGATTTCACGCTTTATGACTGCATCACTTAGTGACTTCGATTTTGCTCCCAATTGTAACCTGAGGACTACCTGTATTCAAGATGGGAAGTTGTTAAAGGTCTTGTGACAATGTTATTTTTAGTTATTTATTCAAGTTATATGCTACCCATCTCACCTGGAGGTAACTAGGCAATTTACAATAATTTACAATAACCCTAGCCCTAACCTTCAAAGCAATAAATAGTAACATTAAACTAGCTTAAAATTGAGAAAGATGGGGAGGAAGGGAGCAAGACTCTAGGCCAGCTGGCAGAGCCAGGTCTTCAGACCCTTTTGGAAGACCAAAGGGTGGGTGTGGATCTCACTTGAGGCGAGGGGAGATGTTCCAAAGGGCAGGAGCCATGGCAGAAAAACCTCTTCTCTTTGAGCCTGCCAGCCAGAATTCCTTAATAGACAGAGTCTGCAGCAGGCCCTTTCTGCTGGAGCAAGTGGGACAGGCTAGTCCCATTGGGGCAAGACATCTCCTCAGATAGCCTGGACCCATTCCATGAAGGGCTTTTATATATGTGTGTGTGTGTGTGTGTGTGTGTGTGTGTGTGTGTGTTTATTCTTAAGTTTTCACGGGTATTTATATGTATGGTATACCGTTTTGTTCGGGTATTTTCCCACATCGTTATAGTTGTGCTTTTAAAGTTGTAGCAACGTTTCGACAGAATCTCATCTGCCATCATCAGGTGTGTTTGAGCTGGAGGTATCGGGGGGGGGTGTCTGACTATGGGTCTGAGAGGTATGCCTTTTTTGTGTATTTTGGGGAGGCCGTATAGTTTGGGGCATCTGGAAGATTTTTCTCTTGGGATGATAGTCTGTTGGATCTCTTTGCTCATGTTGCTGGTTATGAAAAAATCTCCACACCACAAGCCAGGCAAACACCTGGGCACAAACAGACCCCCCCCTGATACCTCCAGCTCAAACACACCCCAACCAGGCACCCAGATGAAACCTAGCTTCCTAATAAATGATAGCCGTCCGTTTACCCGAAGCCAAACTGTACTAAAAGCCTCCAATACAGGAAACACAATGTTGCCAGCCAATCAAGACAAAAAAAATGCTACAAAACAGACAGAAGATATTAGAAACACCAATCAAGCAGAACACAGCAAACTCCAAGACCAATAAACACAGACCAAGGCACCCAAGCAATCAGGATGAAGAAAAAACCATTCTGGCACAGCAGTAGGCTAGCACCAAATTTAAAACAGAAACAGCTGTGAAAGCCTGACTCACAGACGAACACAATACACAAGCCTGATGATGGCAGATGAGATTCTGCCGAAACGTTGCTACAACTTTAAAAGCACAACTATAATGACATGGGAAAATACCCGAACAAAGCTGAATACCATACATATAAATACCTGCAAAAACTTAAGAAAACAAATATATATGTATGAATGATAATCTGACAAATTTGGATATGCCTTATTCTTCCCAATATGGGAACAAACATGTTAAGGTGTCCCACAGTGTCTGCTCAGGTTCATAGTCAAATCAACATTTCTGGAAGGATTGGCTAATTAAATATGATACTGAAATTAATTCAGTTTGATGTCATAGCAAGGTGGAATCAGGTTTACTAATGAATTATTTAGAATCTCAATGTGACGTCTTGTGAAACTAGATACAAATAGGACTTCTTTTGAAGTGTCTTGTGTTACAAGAGCAATATTAAGATACATTTTAATTTTCTAACAGAGCATGTTGCCATGAAACTATCTCAGGAGTACATTTCTTCTGTCATACTAGAGACATGGGTCATTGTCTGGTCTGATGTCTCATGCAGTAGTAATGTAGGTGTTTCAAGTCTTGTGGATAGAAAGTCTCTTGAAGAAATTCTGCTGTTTTTAAGACTGGCTTAGTAATTCTATGAATTATGATTTTCCTGTATGCATCTGTTTCTAAAGTATATATTAAACAGCAAATATATTCCATTGTCTTCTCTTTCAAAGATATGTCTGAGAAGTTCTTAGCTAATTGATCTCCATGAATTTTGATTTAGTTTGAGGGATGTAGTATTTGTGGTTTTCTTTTTATGTATCTTTTTATGTATACTGAGAGCATTTGCACCATGACAAATTCATTGTGTGTCCAATCACACTTGGCCAATAAAGAATTCTATTCTATTCTTCTGGGTGTTGTGGAACTCTAACTTGAAGCTTCTTTTAAGCAATGCTGGTTGATGTTGATTGGAATTGAGTAATATTTCTGATCTAGGTAAAGCAGATTTGAAAGCTGAATGGGTGGAATTAAATCTGTCATTCCTATTGTAGGAGAGGTTTGAAGACTGTAGTGCTTTAGATCCCACCTTGAACTTTCAGGTAACCATTATGGCTGATACATCTCTCAACAACTTTGGTTTTCCATCTTGTCCATTGCAGGAAGAGATAGTTAGCAACTTGTATACTTTAATTACCTTTTGATTAAATTATAGCAACCCAGTTTTCATTGGTCTGCTACCAAGGATGATTCAGAGTCTGTACCTAATATAGAATGTCACATTGACCAAGATAATAAGCTATATTACAGTGTTTTGAAACATCTGCATTACAGGTGAAACTCGAAAAATTAGAATATGTGCAAAAGTTCATTTATTTCAGTAATGCAACTTAAAAGGTGAAACTAATATATGAGATAGATTCATTACATGCAAAGCAAGATAGTTCAAGCCGTGATTTGTCATAATTACAATGATTATGGCTTACAGCTCATGAAAACTCCAAATCCATCCAGGGAAAAGAGCAGAAATTAGAGTCAGTAGACCAGAGAATGAAGGAACGGAATAAGGAAGTGGAAGACTCACTGATCCGGCTGGAGATGGAGAAAACCTCATTTTATTTGTGTTTCCAGAATGGAGGAGACTAGACAGGAAGACTTAACATCAATAATGGCCAAGATAATTGCAGAAGCACTCCAAAGAGACAAGAGGGAGATAATCAATGAGTTGGATGAAGTCTACCGAGTTTACACCAACTACGCCAGATGATTTAGACTGCCTAAAGAAGTGCACATCCATTTTGCACGGAAAAAAAGTGAGGGATATAATCTATAAAATTACTAGAGATGAGCTAATATTCTACAAAGAAAAAGAAATTATTATATTAAAGCAAATCCTGAAAGAGTACGTGAGCAACAGAAAGAATATCTTTTTCTGGCTGACCGATTAACTAAAACAACATGCTATTTAGATGGATAACACCAGAGGGAATGTTGGTGTCCTGGCAAGGGAAGAAGATCAAGATAGACACTCTGGATAAGGCACGAGACTTCCACACCCAACTGGTAGGCACAGAAGAACTTGGTAGCAGCACAGAAGAACTGGAATCGGCCAGCCAAGATGATCAACAATTGGAAACGAATGGAAAAGACCAGGAAGAAGAGGAAAAGAAAAGAGAAGAAAGACCACAAGAAGAGAACAGAGTAAGAACAAGAGCACAGAGGCAAGGAATAACAGGAACTAGTTATAGCAGCAAAGAAAGAAAATAGAAAACAATTTGAAAATACTGTCAGTAAATATAAATGGACTTAACTCTCCATCGAAACAGAACCAAACTTTTAAGAAATTGGCAAAGCAAAAAATGGATATAGTGTGCCTCCAGGAGGTACACATTAGAACTCAGGATAAAAAATATTTGCATTATAAAAAATTAGGAAAACTTTATACAGCACTAGCACAAGAAAAAAAAAAGAGGGGTAGCAATTTGTGTTAGAAAAGGAATAGAGGCAGAAGCACTATATGCAGATTCAGTAGGGAGAACATTAATGTTAGAAGTTGTATGGGAACAGAGGAAACTTTTACTCATTGCAATTTATGCTTCTCATAAACAACAAGATACTATGAAAGATACATGAGAAAATTTTAGAATTAGGCAAAGAAGGTATTTGTATGATAGGAGATTTTAACGCAGTTGCGGACACTAAAAAGGACTACCAAAGCACTAGTAAAAGAAAAAGGAAAAAAAAGAACACCCTTCCAAAAACATTTTTAATATGGAAGAAGAACAAAATTTAATAGATATCTGGAGAATATATAACCCAAAAGAAAATCAGTTCACCTTTTATTCCATTCCCCACAAATCATGGTCCAGAATTGATATGGCGTGGATAAGTAAAACTCTAATGAAAGACATACCGCAAATAGAAATAACACCAAATGTATGGGTGGATCACAATCCCCTGATAGCAACATGGAAAGGCCAATCAAAACAAAGAGGGAGATGGACATTGAACCCACAAATTCTGAGAGATAAAGAATATTTAACAAAATTAAAAAGAGAATTAGAAATGTT